AGACCCTGTATGAAAAATAACTAAAGCAAAAAGGGCTGGGGGTTTGGCTTGAGTGGTAGAGAGCTTGCCTACCAAGTGCGAGGCCCTGAGTTCAAACATCAATATTGCCAAAAAAAAGTAGCATGTCAATTCGGTTTGAATTAAAAAAAAAAACAGGGCTATTAAGGGGTAATCTATGTATAGTAAAACTGACTTTTGGTAAGGGTGTAAAGTTGAGGTTTTAAAAAATAACTTTGTTGAAGCATAATTGACATACAATAAGTTGCATATACTTAGAGTGTAGAATGAAATAAGATTGACATATTATACCTTGGTGAAATCATGGCTACAAATAAGATAATAAACATGTCCATCACCCTTTCTATACTCTTCCTTCTGCTCCTCCCTGCAGGCAGGCAACCACTAATCCTTTCTGTCAGTACACATTAATTTGCACTGTGTTTGGCTTCTTTAACTCAGCATAATTATTTTAATATTTACTCATTCCTTTTCATTGCTGAATAGTATTCCACTGTGGGTTGTCCACAATGTATATCCATTCACCTGGTGACAGACATTTGGATTGTCTCCAGTTTGTGATGATTACAAAAAATTTTGCTGTAAACATTCATATCCAACTCTCTTCTTGAATGTACACTTTCCAAAATTCCAGTTTTTCTACAAGTTACTTAGCACTTTGTATCATCAGTTTTCTTAATTTTAGCAATTCAAATTTGATTTTAAGTTGCATTTGCTTATTGACTAGTGATGCACGCATCTTTTCATGAGTCTCCTTGGCATCCATGGTTTCTGTAGGGAACTGTCTGTTTATTTTGCTCATTATTTCTATTGAATTTTGAACTTACACATTCTCAATGAAAATAATTTGTTAGATATAATACTATATATATATATATATAATACTATATTTGAAAATATTTTCTCTCAGTGACTTTTCTAATTTCTTTTTTTTTTTGTGGTACTGGAGTTTGAACTCAGGCCCTTCACCTTGAGCCACTCCACTAGCCCTTTGTGTGAAGGGTTTTTCAAGATAGGGTCTTGCAGAACTATTTACCTGGGATGGCTTCAAACCCCTATCCTCCTGATCTCTGCTTCCTGAGCAGCTAGGTGCAGGTGTGAGCCACCAGCACCTGGCAAGTTTCTTAACATTAATCTTTTGAAGTAAAAAATTTTTAATTTTCATAAAGTTAAATTTGTAAATGTTTTTGTTGGGTTGTGCTTTCGGTGTTGTAGCTAAGAAATCATTGTGCACCCAAACTGACACCTATTTTCTCTTGCATTGTCTTCTAAAGTTTTATACTTGTAGATCATGCATTTGTCTCTCATCCATTTCCAGTTCACTTTTGTAAACAGTGCAAGATATGAAGCAAAGTTTATTCTTTTCCATGTGATAGCTAACTGCTTCAGCACATCAAAAAGATTATCCTTTCCCCACTGAACTGTCTCTGCGCCTTTGTCAAAAATCAGTTTTCCTGGGTTACACGGGTAGCTCAGTGGTACAGCCCTTGCCTAGCAAGTGTGAGGCCCTAGGTTCAATCACCAGCACTGCAAAAAAGCAAAAACAAATCAGTTTTCCTACATCTGTGTGGCTCTGTTTCTAACTCTGCTCTGCTCCATTGATCTGCTTGTGGGTACTGATACTAATACCACCGGGTATTGATTATGGTAGCTTTAAAATAAGCCTTGAAGCTGGGCACAGTGACATCCATACTTTTAGTCCCAGCTCTCAAGAGGCTGAGGTGGGAGGATCACTGGCCCAGCAAGATCCCATTATAAAAAATAATTATAAAAAAAGCCTTGAAATCAGGTGGGATGTGAAAATGTGTTATTTTCATATCGCTTAAAAAAATTCCCTCAAATCTAAGCCCCCACTTACCATTTTGGATCTCTGGAACATATACATGGAACATTCCAGCTGACCTGTTCCCAAGATTTTTAAACTACCTGAGGCTGGGTATGGTGGCACATACCTGTATTCCCAGCTACTCGAGAGGCTGAGGTAGGATGATCACTTGAGTCCCAGAGTTCAGGGCCAACCTGGGGAACTGTCTCTCCCCCACTCCACCCCTCAAAAAAAGCAAAACAAAACAAAACCCTACTTCGTAATGGCTTTGTTCGTAAACTCAATGTCTAGGTTTATTACTGCCTAAGGCTGGGTCCTACCAGTCTCTCTAAAGTCTTTTTCTGAACGCTTAGCTCAATCCCAGTTGGAGGCTCTTGACAGAAATTCCTCACATTAACTAGTAAAGAATTGGTGGTGGAAACAACTATGAACGTGAGTAGTCTGAGGCAGAAGGATCTGGGGAGACCATGTCAACAAAACAAACAACAAAAAAGGAGAAGGAAGGGGGGTGGATTTAAAAGGAAGCATTGTGATTTGTTACCCTTAATTTTCCTGTCCCTGAGACATATCCAGATGGTGATCTCTTACATCCTGGTGGATAGTCTGATTCAGGGGAATTCCATTCCAAAATGCAAGAGGAGTTAGTACTGTAGGGAACTGCTCAAAAGTGCCCCATTTATGGAGGGAGAACTTCTAACCTCAACAACCATTCGGCAGGGCAGCCTGCCTTTTTGCTAGATCTCATTTTTGTCAGTTGGTAACAAGGTCAATGCTGTGAATTCTGATTGAACATTTGTATCTATGGATCAAACACCGCTTTAGCCCTGGAAGGACACAACTGTAATGGCTCTTCTTTAGAAATGTTGGTACAGAAGCCAGAAGTTACACAGCCTGAAAGAAACATTGTACGAAGAAGACATACACAGCTCATGATGCAGTGTCCTTAAGGCATCATTCTCCCCTTAGCCATGCTGACTCATTCTTGTGACAATGCTCACGGTAAATTAACATAAATTCAAGACAAATCACCTTAGGAGTACTGAATCCTTTATTTTTTCTTGCTGTGGTGATAGTCCCTTATTTTTTAATATTACTAATGCACACAACATTCATTTTAAATGATGAGTTCTATTTACAGGCAAAACACGGGAGAGGCTGTGTGACATAGTGCTTAGGAGCTCACACTCCAGAGTCCATGCTACCTACATCTGAATCTCAGTTCTGACTAGTTTTATAACCTTTTTCTCTCTGCGTCAGTTTTCTGTAAATATGAGCGATAGCAGCACTGCATAGAACTGCAGTGGGAATGAAATGAATTGATTCACATAAAGTGTATAGAACAGTGTCAGGCATATGCAACATCTTCAATAAAGTTAGCCATTAGTATCAGCTCATATTTTAAATTAACTAATAAAATGATTCATATTGCTGCATATAATTTGAATTTAAATATTGAATATGGTATTAAGAAACTTGATAGTGCCTGAGAAGATCCTCAGGAGCTAAACCAGCTCTAATATACTATGAAGAACTAAGGTTCTAGCCCATAGCAGAGGAGCAAGATGTCTGGTTCTAGTTGACTGTACCACCCACGAAGGTGTGACTTGGAACTTGCTTTGTCTGTTGCAAAAGGGATTCATTTATACAGTCTCTGAAGTGACTTATAGTCTCTAACCATAAGTGAATTTCAATGTTTTTGTTATTGTTCTGTCAGCTAACTAGTACTATTTATACAAATCTGAACAGGATGTAAATATTTAGAAAATACTTTCATGAAGTAAAAAACAGGAAAGAAGAATGATATGGACAGATTCCAGGGCATGAATTTGATAGGACCTGACCTACCACATCTCCTGGTAGGAGATGTGTGAGCACTTTAATGAGCGTTCCACTAACGAAGGCTGAGAAGTTCCAGCCCCTTTCCAGGACGTCAGCATGGTGGTGGGAAATGGCCTTCCTTGGGGCTGACCACAGGTGACACACGTAGCCTGTGGCTTTTTTTTTTTACATAAACTTTGTATTAGGAAATATTCACTATATAGGGGGGATTCATAGTGACAATTCTGGTTAGAATTACACTGTACATCATTTACACTGCCCCCTTCATCTCTCCCCTTGGCCCCCTCCCCACCCCACTTAAAGCAATTGCAAGAGGTTACTGATATTTAAGTTGACATTCAGAGGGGTGTCTCAGTGTATGCCCTCTGTGCGTGTGCTTGACTTTGGTCTGTTCAATCCATTCGAGTACTCTCCCTTACTTCTTTACCTCTCTCCCCTGTTTTTCAACAACTTTCAATGCACATCCTTATATCCTCTACCTTCACATCTTATAGTACATCTTATTTCTAAACTTGATGTTCTTATTTTAGTAATGTGTTCTTAATTTAACAATGTGACGTCCTGTCCTTTCCTTTTTCAAGAAAAAAAATTGGTGGCACATCATTTGAAGTAAAATTAAAATAATTACTTGATTTATGAGGTTACTAGGCTTGTGAAAAACTTGTACCACCTGAGATGGATGAAATAAAGACATGAAAAATGACAAAATGATAGTGTTTTTACATATTAATTTATTTTAAAGCCTAGTAATAGCCACAAAGTACCTGATAAAATTAGTTTGAAATAGTAATTTTAAGTTCTAAATAGTCTCTAGTTAAGATACACATACTATTAGTCATAAAAATGATTTTAAAGGCAGATTTCAGACTTCAAGTTATATGATGACTAATCCTTATGAGCTTTTTAAAAGGTACATTTATAAAAATTTGAGGAAATTCATTAAATGGGTAAATATTATAAACAAACATCTAATAATAAACAAACATATACTGTTAGAAGTTTTCACTATCTACTTAGAAATGCTTAAATCAGTCAGGAATGGTGGTGCACATCTGTAATCCCGGCACTCAGAAGGATGAGGCAGGAAGATCACAAGTTCAAGGCCAGTGTGGGCTACACAGTAAGAGATCCTGCCTCAAAAACAATTTATACACACACACACACACACACACACACACACACACACACACGCGCGCGCACACACACACAAACACACACTCTGATTTAAACTTCATGACACCTTCACCAGGTCTGTAAAACAATTTATTCTGGATGTAAACACACATACTACTTTTCCCTTCGTATAATCCCTTCATAAGAACATATTAGGTCTAAGGAATAATCAGAGCATAGCAAAATGCTGCCGTAATTGTTTAATTAAATGTTGTGTATCCACATGATTAGGAAATGCTTCTTTCGACTTCTGAGCAGCAACATAGCTCCTCTGTAGATCTCCAATCTGTAAGAAATACCAAATAAGAACAGAGTGAGACCAGGAAAAATGAGTAAGAAGTGAAAAGAAAGACACTATCTGCAGGCCGCAGAAACCCAAAAGGTTCATAAAGGGACACTGATTAGTGCTGCTTACAGTCTAGAATTCTCCCACCTAGACTATAATTGTATCATGAAAAATACATGAAAAAATGAGACGACCAATTATATAGGTACTTTTGCCCCATTACAGCTGTCTGTGAATTCAGAAACCTGTGCATTCTTTCCCTCTCACTGACAATAATATAGTGACATTTGCACTTCCAAGCAGCTGGCTCTGCATAACTTTGGAAAACTATCTGTAATGTGGCACAAGGGCATTTGATTAGGTATTATCTTTCAGACACGAAACTGAAGTAAAAGCTATTATATTTAAGATATAACAATATGCTTTGGTAAATTTTAAGTGGTACTAACACAATAATCTGAGGATATCTGGTTTTAAAGTTTATATAAGGTGTTTCTGATTTTCAGTGAACTCTGTGTTAACCTACAGGCCAAAGAAAACTACAAATGTTATCAGAATTGAACTGAATACTCCTTGATTCGTGTATGCATTTCTAAAAAGACAGAGCTTTTAGTATGTGTACACACACAAAAAAAGATTTCTTTTCCAACTGGTGTTGAAAAATTCAACTAGTGTTTTTTGGTAATATATATATGTATTAAAAACATAAATAGTTTCTTTTTTAAAATCCTAACAATCTTTTTAACATGCTATTTTCTTTTATGGACATGTAATCTTTTGCTAAAAGAAATGCCTCATTTAGTTATGGACTGTAAGGTGTGTTGATCTTCCTGAAAGAAAGCACATGTGCCTTCTTTGTGGCTCAACTACCCAAGTAGCAGCACAGGGCAGAGGAAAACACACAAGCATCATTAGAGCTGGGTGTGAGTTCAGAATCTGCATTGCTATCCAGGGGGCATGCTATCTAGCCCAGGCTGTCCTTGAACTTGTGAACCTCCTGCCTCGGCCTCCTGCATTCTCCTACATTCTGGAGTTTAGATGTACACCACCACACTCAGATTCTAGGTGTGTCTTTTAAATTCTGTAAGCCTTGAGTTCCACTGGAGTGAAAGCTTCATAAACTAGGAGTTTGTCTGTCTGTTTTACTCACTGCTACGTCCTCTAAGCTGACAACAGGACCTCGTGTACAGTAGAGGCTCAATCAATGAAATCACTGAGCACTAGGAAAGGTATCCAGAGCCTGCAGGGCAGTCACTGGTACGCACTGACTGCTCAAAACAACTGTAACTTCTCTATTCTCAAAACAGAAGCAAAAGTGTAGACAGCTTTATATTCATGGTATCAATGTAACAGATTTTTATGTTTTTGGTCAATAAAGACTCCTACTTACGTTACAAACATTTTTAGCTATTTCCTTGTCTTCAAGTTAGATTCACCTTCCATGTTAAAGGGAGGTTTCCAAATAAAAGTCAGCTATAAGATATCTTTTGTTTCTTTTTATCTCATTAAAAGAATTCCTTTCAGCTGATTTGCAATACAGTGTTAACACTGTACTTCCCCCACATTACTCCTAACTGAAATAGCTTTTACTAATACCTCTGATTCTATAGCAACCATTCCAGAGATTGGGTGACAATCAGATCTATACATAATATGCAGAATTTCCTTTCTGTAAAAGCCAGGTACAAATCCTTTCCACATCAGGAATTACTTTATGAAAATCTCTTCAATGACTCAATGTCATATTTTATAACATAAAAGATTTCTTCTGTAATTTGTAACGGTGTTGAGCCAATATGTATGATAGAATTTATTAAACTGTCCCTTGAAGTGAAGATGTTTGTGTATGTGACAAGAGTTTTAAAGTCATTTCTTTTAGATTGCAAAAATCAGTCTTCTGTTCTGAAAGATAAGGTTAGAATTGTATTATTTAAACAAGAAAGTATGATAAATAGATTGGATGATAAATTTAAAAAGAAAGAGAATACCTTATCAGATAATGTTGCAAAATTAAAATGAGGTTCATACAAACAGGGTGCTAGAGATGATGCAGTTTGTAAGAGTGCGCTTGCCTGTGGAAACAGAAAACCAAAGGCATATGAGCAAGTATCAGGACTGAATATGTGATTGTCTTGGTGAAAGAATTCTGTCTAGCATAGGACCTTAATAAATATGATCCTGTGATACATACAGATAACATTCTTCATAAAATACAAGGACTTCCACTGAACAATCAACTACTGATATCTTACCAAAATTATGTTTATAATAAATACTTCAAAAGACAGAGAAAAATAAAGAATTGAAAATTTAGAGTAGATTTAAAGTTATTTGAGAACCACTGTCTTATAAAGTTTATATTTCAGTATAATATACAACTTAAAATATAAATGTAACGAATATCTTCTTAATCTAGTTTTTGTTATCAGTGACTGATTTAACAGGCTCTCATGATCTGTTCCCTAATATAACGACAACAACAAAAAACTACCAAGAAACATAATAAATTTCAAAGTCCAAAGTTCTGTGTTGGATTACAGTGGACAAGCTTTTATTATACTGCTGACCAGTTTCTAAGTGGTCAGCAAATGACAAGCTTTCTGTTCTCTAAAGTACTCAAATCACAAAATTCACATTACTTTTTTGTCCCTTAAGAGTCTGAAGGGTCGTGTATCACAGAGGCCACAGAGTGGCATGAGCTGCTTGGACATGCTTCGTTATGAGCATTAACTCTACACAACCAGCGCTGGACAGCCCTCCAACTTGTAGCTAAATCCAAGCTTGGATCCATGACTCTGAGGACAAATTCATCTATCTTTATTTTTTAATGGAAAATAAGTGGGTATCAGTTCATAGAGGATGGTGGATACTATTTTTTAATAATAAAATGAGGTTAGTATAAAACCTTTCACCAACATACGTCAAATCAATTGTATCCAAGGAAACTATAATGAGTAGGAAGGAAAGAAAACCACCAATCTGAGAACAGAGACAATTACGAAATTGCTTTCTTCACGTGAACACAGTAAAGTTCCTTAACAAAACAAGTGCCCATCTCAGAATACAGACCCACCTTATTAGTTTAGGTAATTTGAATTAAAGTTAGGTTTCCATGCTTGTTTTGCTAAAAGGTTATCTATCACTGCCCTTTGAAGGCCAAGTTCATCCTGTTCACCATGGCTATGACCTTGGGTGAAGTCACTTACCCTCCCCCAAGTCTCAATTTCTTCACCTCTCAAATGGCACTAATTACCACTAAAGGACTATATGTAGCACTTGAAACTGTTTGCTAAGTGGTTAATAAGAGTAATTTATTAAGCAGCTACCATGGGCTCAATACTACCCGTCCACTATGCCGAGTGCTTTGCCTGATCTAATCTCACAAAAACCCCTCCAGGCAGGTACTATTATTACTGTACTTTATAGATCGCCCATTTATTCTGGAAATGTTGACGAGCCCTTGCCATGTGCCAGGCACTGTTTCTTTTTTTTTTTTTTTTTTTTTTTCATTTTTCTTTTATTATTCATATGTGCATACAAGGCTTGGTTCATTTCTCCCCCCTGCCCCCACCCCCTCCCTTACCACCCACTCCACCCCCTCCCGCTCCCCCCCTCAATACCCAGCAGAAACTATTTTGCCCTTATTTCTAATTTTGTTGTAGAGAGAGTATAAGCAATAATAGGAAGGAACAAGGGTTTTTGCTGGTTGAGATAAGGATAGCTATACAGGGCAGTGACTCACATTGATTTCCTGTGCGTGGGTGTTACCTTCTAGGTTAATTCTTTTTGATCTAATCTTTTCTCTAGTACCTGGTCCCCTTCTCCTATTGGCCTCAGTTGCTTTAAGGTATCTGCTTTAGTTTCTCTGCATTAAGGGCAACAAATGCTAGCTAGTTTTTTAGGTGTCTTACCTATCCTCACCCCTCCCTTGTGTGCTCTCGCTTTTATCATGTGCTCATAGTCCAATCCCCTTGTTGTGTTTCAGGCACTGTTTCTGATGCTGAGAATATAGCAGTTACATTAACAGTTAGTTCCCTACTCTCAAGCAACTGACATTCTGCATTTCTACACATCAATTTGACAATGTTTGCCAAAATAAGACATTTTGGGGGGTGGGGAGAGAAGCAGGAGATGTGCTAGGCTCCAAGAGCTTCTTATGGACTGGTGTTCAAGATGGCCTTTCTGAGGAGGTGGCATCTAAGCCCTGAATGACAAAAAAAGGAACTTGTCATTGCAAGATCTGAGGGAAGAACATTCCAAAGGCCCTAAAGAAAGACTGAGCACAGCATATCTTAGGAGCAGCGAGGCAGCGAATGTGCCTTGGAGTCAGTGGGAAACAGGGATTGCTATAGGATGTGGTCTGAGAAGAAGGCAGACTATGGAGGGCTTCACCAGCTATGGTTGGAAGCCTGGGTTTTAGTCCAAATACAAATGGAAGGCCCTGAAGGATTTTAAGCAAGCAGTAATAAATAATTGTTATATATATATATCCCTTAGGCTATTCTGAGGATTATGTATCACAGAGGATACTTACTTGCTGGTGTCAGTGGGGAAAAGGAACTCTTGGATTGAGTAGTCTAGGCATGAGATGACAGCAGGGTAGAGAAAAGCGATCAGTGGTCAGGTTCAGGATGTGACAGAAGAGGTAAGACTGCTGCAGGGTCTGCTGAATACGATGTGGGTTTGGAAGGGTCAGGGGTAGTAAGGAGACAAGAGAGGTTTTGAGGGTAGTCCCCAGGATTTTGACAGGAGCAGCTAGATGGTGGATGGTGGATGGTGAATGATGGGACAATTCACTTAAGGCAGGGAAGACCAGGCAGGTGTATATTGTCCCAGTAAAATCAAATCTTCTGTTCTGGACTCAGAACGGCATAGTAACTTGCCCAAGGTCACATAGAAAATACATGACAGAGGTGGGCTTCAAACCCAGATCTGCCAATTCTAAAGCTCATTTTAAAATTATAAAACATGATGACAGCCACATGTGGCAGCTGTCCTTTGAAGAAAGCAGACTGTGCACAGTGCCACCATTGGTTCCCTGACCTGTTCAACGTGGCCCTTCCGCATCTCCAGCACAGCCAGGTTGTTGTAGGCATGAGCATGGTAGTTGTTGTTGACCAGAGCCAGCCCTAAGCACTGATGGGCCAAGTTCGTATCTCCTATCCCCTAAAAAGAAAAACACACATTTGCACACACAGATTCATAGGCTTCCTCCCGACATCTCCTGTCTCATTTCAATATTTTCTACTACACAGAAAAAGGACTGGGTATCGATAATTGGGGTCCAGTATGAATTCTATTAAGTGGATTTAACTTGGGGACAGAAAGTGACCTACAGTGACTCTGAGATCTCTGAATTGCCACCTGGATTTACAACACTTGAAAAATATTTCAAATAAACTTATGGTTACCTTTTTTGTAATAGAAATTATATCAAAAAACCACATACCACAGCTATGTGCCCCAAGTTGTACCAGACCTCAGCTGACTCTTCTTCATTTTCAGCCAGAGAAAGGGCGCGTTCAAATGAGGTCAGAGTCATATCATACTGCTGGGCAAAGAAGCAACACAGCCCCAGATTGTTGAAAAGCTGGCAGTTATAAATGCCCATCTGCAAGAGTCGCCTTTTAAAAAAGAAAAGCACAAATTTTGGTGTCAGATCAACTTTATAAATGTTAAGACATACTTTTATGGAGTTAGAAATCAATCCATTTTAATAATTTTTAACACCCCCAATGAATATAAATACAAACTGTACAGTGAGCAAATACATCTTTAAAGCAAATACAAAAGTTTATTTTTTATAACTAGTCACAGGAAATGTCAGAAACAGTTGTTTCTCAAAAAAACTTTGTTAAAGAACAAAACTAAGAAATGGTCACTAAAGTACAGCCCACTGGTTTAGTTTTATAAAGCTTCTGTGCCCACAGGTAAGTTCCTAAGACTCAAGCTAATTTGAGGACTGTGATTATGTTCATTGCTCAGCTTTCAGCGGAGTTGATCCTGTTTCTGGCTACCTGTACTTTGTGGTTAAGCTGTGTCTACTGACGCCCAGTGAGTTTCCACCACCACTTAAGAGCTCTAGAGCCTCATTTTGCCTGTAGGCATCATAAACCCCAAGGGACAAAAGACATGAGAGTTCAAATGCACCAATGAAAATCCAGCCCCACTGCAGTGAGAAACTCATGACCCACTTTAGGGGTGGAGTAAAGTCAGCTGCACGTGCACTGGACAGCATTTATGTATTTTCTGTTTCCAACATATATTTGGAAAGAACTCTTCTGGGCTGTCAGTCAACTCTTGCATATTACCCAAGGGCTGAAATCTTAATTTAAAAAATAATTTAGAAGCCAGATGTAGAATAAAATAAGTATACATCAAAAGAGAACCACTGAACATAATTTACTTAGACTCTGAAAAAGTATCTGGCAAAAAAGAGGTCACAATACTTCACAAAACAGTTGATCTTGTTTCAAGCCTTCATGGATGTTCAAAACACAGGGCCAACTGCTCTTTGCAAATCTCTTCACTATTTCAGTCTCAAGAGCTTTGCCTTTAGCAATATAATGGAGACGGTTTTAAGGAACTATTAAGCTACTGAATACTTGCTATTAAAATAATAGCAACTAGCAAGTATTGTTTGTTAATAAAAGGGCTAACTTATGCAGCAAGTTAAAAACTCAATCATCCAGGTATGTTTCTGCAGGATGACAAAACCTGTGCATTTCCAAATTACCAGATGTCAATTAAAGCTCATAAAACATCTTGAGTGCTGTGATTTTTAGATTCATATACCCAAGATCTATACATTATTTTTCTATCTACATTTTCATTCCATCGTTGTTATTATTTCACCAACTTTTCACAGGAAAACAGTCCTATACATTGACTGTAAAGCACACCTGTAAAACCGGAGAGCTATTTCTGGTTGGTCAGAGTAAAAGTGGTGACTCCCAATGTATGCGATAGCTTCCACATGAGTATTATCTTGTTTTAAAACTTTTTCATAGTGTTCAGCTGCTTTTGAATAAAAATCCATTTCCTATTCTCCAAGACAGAAGAGCAACACTTTATTAACAATGAACAAGAAGTTATTTGTTTCTGATCAATTTAAGTTCACTCAACAAATATTCATTTAGAGTGTGCTATGTGCCACACTCTATTCTAGGCGGTAGAGAAAAAAATATGAACAAAAAGATGGGAGATTATATCTGGTAGAGAAGACAAACAAATCAATAACTGTAACATAATGTCAGGCAAGGGTGAGTGATATGAAGAAAAACAGAGCAGGGTAAGAGAGAGAGAGAGAGGGAAGGAGGGAGGAGGCTACTTCTGAAAGGGTGGTCACCTTGAAGGAAGAGCTATTAGAACAGAGATCTAAATGAAGTGAGGAATCAAGACCTGAGCATTCATGCAGGAAGCTCACTCTAGGCAGAGACTAGCAAACCTATGAGCCTAGGATAAATCATTTAGAAGAACCACACAGAGGCACATGAGACTGGGAACAGAGAACGGTACAGAGGAGACAGAAGTGCCAGGGCCTTGGTTGGCCATGAGAAGAGCTTCAGATTTTTTTCTAAGTTGATAGTCTGTAGAGAATGAAAAGCAGAAGAGCAAAATAATCATAATATGTCTTCATTTTTAAAGAATAACTTGGCTGCTAAAACAAGATGTACCAAAATAAGGAGGAAATGATAGCAGAGAGACCACGGAAAGAAACAATGGCAACCCATACCAAATTCAGAAATGCACACACAATTAAAAACTGAAGGAAATTAACACACTGGAAATCATTAGTAAATTCCGCTAGCTTTTTTTTTTTTGAGATGAGGATCTCACTGTGTGGCCCTGGCTCATCTTGAACACCTGGGCTCAAGCCATCCTCCTACCTCAGCCTCCTGAATAGCTGAGAGGATGACAGGAGCACACCACCGCACCTGACTCATCTAATATCATTAATGAATGCTACATCTCTCAAATCCATCTTCAAGGCTAAGTTCAGGCTCCTCATCCTTTATGAAGATTTCCCTATGCCCTCACTTCACACAGTACTCTTCTGCCTTTCAAATGACATTACATTTATTGTGACTCACACACTTGTTCCTATCATATAAGGACTCATTTTTTTGTTAGATTTTAGTTATATTTTATCAAATCTAAGTGATTCCACCAATTATAAGATGCACTACACAATTTTTTTTAACACAGATTCTTCAAATTTAATACTCACTAATGGACTTAAATAGACCTAGATCGTAACACAGGTCATTCTTTCATGTACTTTTATATAAAGATTGTATGCAAAACAAATTGAATATCGCATATGGGTCCCCTTTTGATTTTGTCATCCATGCCTAGGTTTTACCACACAATACTGTCCTATACATTAGTGATCTAGCTTTTCTTTTTTTATTTAATTTTTATTGACAACTAATTCTTGCATATGTTTATGGGGTACAATGTGATGCTTTGATACATGTTCACATTGCAGAATGAACGAATCAGACTAATAAACATATCTGTCACCTCATACACTTCTCGCTTCTTTGTGGTGAGAGCATTTAAAATCCACTTGTAGCATTTCTTATAACCATGCTCCATGACTGTCTCCAGGATCTCTTCTAGGCTACTGAACTGCTCTGCTGATGCTGTGTATCTTGCTCTAACCAGAAGGCTTGAACAAAAGCTTATAGGCAGTAACCAGATATAATTACCAAGTTCATCATGGTACCAAGAATAATTATCAAGTTTTCATGTAAGCATGAGACTATGACAACTATACAACTGCCACTTGGTCATTGAGGTCACCTATTGTAAGATGTGTCCTAATTTCAGAGATATTCAAATGATGAAAAAAATGTTTTTGGAATCCATGAAATTTGGTACATCCTTTGAGAGAAAGATACACGTGGTATGCCTTTTCTTAGCCCTTTAAGTGCTTCCAGATACTGAAAAATTAATAAATAAGAATTAAACAACTTTCAAATTTTCCTTAACTGCTACTGTTTCTACTACAATGAAGGTTCTCAAACTTTTTGGTCTCAAGATTCCTTTACACTCTTTAAAACTGATGAGAATTCCAACTAAGTTTTGTTTATATAGGTTATATCTATTAATAATAGAAACTGAACTGAGACATTTAAAACTTTTATTAACTCTTTCTAAATAACAGATAATAAGTAACATATAACAAAACTATTACATGTTAACATGATTTTTTTAAATTAAAAATATCAGGGTCTCCTGACTGGAGTAGGAAATACATCTTTTCTGCCACAGAGTGGGTCAGTCTAATTCGGAGACCGAAGACTAACAAGTCCTTTCGACCCCAAGTCTAAAGCCACAATGCTCCAATTCTGTTTTTGTCAGAAAGTTAATGAATAACACTGAGAAGGAAAGAATAAACTGAGTATTAGAGTGTATAAAATGATTCTGTTTATGGCTAAAACACAAATAACTGTATTTGTGTCTTTATATGAACAAAACTTCATTACTTCCCCTCTCCACCTCATCCCATCCTGCCCTTTTATCAGGAACCCACTCCTGTGATAAGCAAGCAACTCTCCTGAAGGCATCTGTGAGGGCACAGCCCTCAGGGCCTAATTTCCATTCCCAACACATGAACTCTGGGAGGCACATTCAAACCACCAGCAGTGCTGGCTGCCCTCCTGGACCAGGAGAGCTGGAGACTGAGATGTGACTCAACTTTCTTAGTCCAAATAAAATGACCCTGAACTGACATTGCCTTTAATTAAAAACCAGGAAGATCCCATGTTTATAAACTTTGGTTTTGAGAAAAAGTACAGATGGTCCAATTGAGTTCCCCCAGATGGGTGTCACCAAGCCCTAAGCATGAAAGGGTGGTGATGGTGTCAGAATGCAGCTGGGGAGCGGGAATGTGGCTCAGTGGTAGAGCACTTGCCTGGCATATTTAGACTGAGGAAATTAAAAGCAGTCTTATCTGTCTGAACTATGGCAGGTACTTTGCCTGTTTGATAATTTTACCTTTGCTGTGGTCTAGTTTTATTTAAAGCTATGTTTTTACTAAATAGGAAATTTAACTTTTATGTTCTCATTTATTAACCTTTCCTATTATGGCTTTCTGACTTTGTATCATGTTTAAAAAGATCTTCCTCATTCCATGTATGCAAATAATCTACTATGTTTTCTTCTGAAAATATCATGGTTTCATCTTTTGAAATTTTTAACTCTTTTAATTCTTATAAATCTTGCAGTAGTGGAATCTTTTATATAAGAAATCATTACTCATTAGAAGTACTTTTAAAATATTTAATAAAATATTTAATAATCTAATAGTTCATTTCGCTTAATAAGAAACCCTTATTACGTTTTCATATGTGTGAACATATGTGAACTCTAATTTGGTCCTTAAACTTGTTCCTGCTCAGAATTGTTTAAATTATACTAGTTCTAGAAGAGATTTTATTAATGTAGATTTATAATAACATTTTCAAGTTACATAACTGTTACTTGAAATATATAATAAATTTGATGTCATATAAATGATTTTTCTAGTAGCTACTTTTTGAACAAATGCAAATACAAACTATACTTAATTTTAAGTCTTTAAAGTAAAATTGCACATAACTTAAGTAAATGTTGCAGTGGTTCTAAAATTCTGTTGTGCCTCAGAATCACCCTGTGAACTTATTAAAAATTTACAAGTCCCAAGTCTTTCCTTCTAGGACTTCTGATTGAGAAGGAAGAGTGTGTGTATGTTGGGGTGGGGGGAATGCAAACTTTGAACACACACCCATGGTAATTTTCATATATAGTAAAGTTTAAGAACCACTAGAATGGAATGTCATAATTTCAAATAAAGAACATCTAAACCAAGAGCCTCTATTTCAAATGAAATACTTCAAAAAAATAAAAACCAAAAAAAAATTAACAAAGATAAATAATCTTAAGTGTCTGTACCAAAAGTACAGACACTTAAAAAGAAAGTACAATATGATCACTTTAAAGTAGGAAACATTTAAGAATACAATACCAAAATGAAAGTGATAAATAAAAAGAAAAGAACATAACAGAGGAGAGTCCCTCCAGAGAAAAGCATGATATACATAATGAAAATCCTTAAAAGCAAACACAGTGCAGGCTGCAGTTGTAAGGACCAAACTTAGTAATCTTAAAGTTCAAAAGAATCTGCTGGAAATCTAACTTTGATGTGGTAAGCTTTGGGAGAAGGAAATTAATTATGTAAATTCAAGGGGGAAGTACTACATCGAATAATTCCAAATTTGTGCTTAGTCCTTGATCAGCCTACCTGTGCATAGCATACAGTCCCTGCAGCTAGGCTGCTTTCCTTTCCATGTCTTTCTCCCTGCAAGTGCATACTCAGCTCAACAGTGAAAGGAATAAGGAATGCTCCAAAAGCAGGGCATGTTGGTATATGCATGTAATCCCAGCACTTGGAAGTGGAGGCAAGAGGACTGCAAGTTGGAGGCCAACCTGAGCTACATAGAAAGAACCTGTTAACAAACAAATATACAATCTGCTCAGAGCCAATCCCTATCCTGGCTATAGCTACAAGACTATAACAGAGACTTGGAAGGAATTCATCTAAACAGCAGGCACATATTAAAGATATAATCCTTCTCTAGCAATTTCTGCTAGCAGTTCTTGCCTAAGAGCAAGGCAAAAAAGCACTGAGAAGTGAGGAAGGCAGAGCCTGAAGGACCAAGAGGATAGCTGCACAAGGATAGTAACCACTGAAGCCAGCATGAACTCCACTGGTTCTAATTGTCATTCTATCATTTCCTTTCTAAGTGTCATGATGAAAGGTTTATTCGTATTGTGCTTAGTGTCACAATAAGTAAGCGTAGAAAAATACCAAGAGTATTTGTGTTGATTGATCAAAGTCATGCATAAATATGCATTTATCAAATTCATAAGGGAAACACATTTTCTAGAAAATTAATTTTTTTTTAATTTAAGAAGTAATGCTTATGGAAGATCTGGAGAATACAAAGAATATAAAAAAGAAAATAAAAATCATTCACAGACAATCATGTAGATGCAGAACTGTAAATATCTTCTATTCCTTGTTAGAAGAATAATTTTCAATATCAAACCTCACATTTTCAAGGGATTTAAAGAAAACAGAGATATGTTTATCAAATATTGTATTAAAAGTCCTAAGTAATATAATGTGTGTGTGTGTATACATACATATATATGTATTTTGGCAGAACTGTGGTTCGAACTCAGGACCTCACACTTACTAGGCAGGAGCTCTACCACTTGAGCCACTCTGCCAGACATTTTTGGGTGTTTTTGAGATAGGGTCTCACTTTTGTCCCAGGCTGGGCTCAAACCTTGATCTTCCTTGATCTGTGCCTCCAGAGTAGCTAGTATTACAGGTGTGAACCACCGCTGTCAGGCTATAATATATTTTAAAGTGAAAAAACAACTGAAGAAATGAAACCATATTTGCAGATAATGATGATTTTATTTACCAAAAGGTATCCGAGAGAATCTATAGACAATATCTTTAAAAATTTAAAGTGGCTAATATCAAATCAGCTTTTAAAAAGTAATGCATTCCTATTCACCAGAATTAGAAGAAAATACAAAAGAAATTTAAAAGGATTCAGTTCATAGTTACAGCAAGAGTTAACACAGCAGGCCTAAGATGGATGTTCTTAGTCCTGTACTGGGGAACTCAGCTGCTTCCCTATACTGATACAGACTTTGCTCAATGACAAGAGTGGCTAGCTATACCTAAACTGGTCATGCAACAGTGTGGTCTGTGCAGAGCATGTTTACTTGTGGGAGTCTGGAATTCTGGCACGTGACAGACAGAGGGTATCTCTATGACCATCCCCCAACAGTAACCTGGACACGGAGTCTCTAACGAGTGTCCCTGGCAAACAACACTTCTCATAAGGTGTCACATTTTGCTTCTGGAAGAAGCAGCAGTGTTTTCCACTGGGAAAACACTCTTGGAAGCTTGCACCTGGCTTCCTCTTACTTTTCTTTTTACCGAGTTTGTTTTGCATCTTTTGCTCTAATAAAGCTTAGCTGTGAGCACAACAATATGCTGTGTCCATGAATGAAGAGTTCCATGCCTGAGAATGAGAAGAAAGGCAACTCACTGGCCTACCCTCATCATTCATATATTTAACGTAATGCCAATCAATATGCCTATCAGGTTTGTAAAGGCTCTTGATGGGTCAATCCTAAAATCAATATGGAAGAACAAAAAGAGTCGAAATTGCCAACTGTGAAGAAGAAAAACAAGGTGGTAGAATTTGCCCAATCTAATTTCAGGAATTATTGTAAAACAACTGTAGTAATTAGGCAGCAGGGAAGATAACTCAATGGAACTTTTCATGGAATTTGACAAACTGAATCTAAAAATTTTAAGAATGAATAAAATAACAAAGATACTCTTGATGAAGATAAACCCTACCAAATGTTATTATAAAACTATAGAAATTAAGCTGGTATAATCTTAGCTCAAGGTTCAACAAACAGACCAATGGAACAGAATAGGAAGCCCCAAAGTATATTCATCAGAAATGGGAAAAAACCAATACTTGATGTTATAGACTTTAGGAAAGGATCAATAAATGCACTGATGACAGGCTACCTATACAGGGAAAATAAATTAAGTCCCTATCTTGTCCCATTGGCTATACTCTTTTATGTGTAGGAAATACTTCATAATAAAAATTTAGTTTGACTAAACACATACAGCGAAATCTCTCATTCTACTGGTGGATCACAGGCCAACAATCACAATTTTGTAAGACTGTTCTCCTTGCTGGGACCCTGAGGCACTATAAGCTTATTTAAGAAGTGCATAACCTCAATTGTGCATCAGTTTTAAAAATACTATGAATCTCACCTCATAGATCCTGGCAATTCCACAAAGCAGGGTTACTTCTCCTGGAAACTTATCTAAGCCTTGTTTGAAAACATTTAAAGCAGTCATAGGTTGATCCAACCAGATATAAACCTAAAAGCAAGATACACTTCAATAAAAATACTGGTTCTTAAAATAATAGTATTTGTATGGCAAATTTATAGCTATTGATTAGGAACAAATTTTCTCCTAGATATTACAGTAAAAATTTCAGAAATGTGCAAAATTAATTTTCAATAATGATATTACAGTTCTTTCCCCATGTATTGTACATAAAACATTTATTCACTTACTCCTCTAACAAATGTTGATTGTTGGCTTACTATTATCACAGACTAAGCAGTAACTAGACAGGAAAGGGTCAGGTGTAAACCTTTTTAGGGTAGAACAGACATGAGTACGTCTATAAACTGACATGCAGGTATCAATTAGGAGTCCAAAGTGGCAGCTGCTGGAGAAAGAGAGATGGCATGGAACAAGTCAGACAGGGCAGCAGGGGAGGGGTGGTCTAGGAGAAGGCCTCTCCAAAACAGAGAGAGGGGAACCAGGTTGGTGAGGTATGAGTCAGGCAGTTGAGTAAGGGAGAGCTTGATGGCTTCCTCTGATTACTAATTAGAACATTCCCATTGATAAACCATATACTTAGGAACTTCTGAAATACAGAAATATGATTTTATATAGAGAGATATAAGATTATAACATTTATCTTCCTGATTTGGGATCCAGTTTCTAAAGAGTTAGTTTGTGCTATTAATGAAACTCAAATTGATACAGGAAACTGTTTATGGTATTTATCACTATCTTACAAAATTGGATGGATGTGAGTGAAATTTTTATCTTATATACTTCCCAACTGTTTTTAAAAACATAGTAAATAACATAATCAATATACAAAGTGGTATAAAATATATTTTGAAATTAATGATTGAAAACTTGAAGAAACAATGTTATTCCTAAAATCTGCTTGATCTCTATTTCGTGGCAACTATCTTTCATGTTTGTTTTCTCTTGTTGCTGGGGATTGAACCCAGGGCCTTGTGTATGGCAGGCGAGGGCTCTACCACAGAGCTACATCCCCGACCCTACTCTTCCACATATTAAAGGAAACAAGTAAATTTCCTACATAGTCATATAGGCAATAATGAATTTAAACAAATGAGCCTATAGAAAAATTGGTGAAACCATGTATTTAACAATAGTTAAAATAAAAAGCACAATTTGTTTCACCTTCATAGCCAGAGATTTTCAATTAAGAAGACTGAATATTAAGAAGAAGATTAAGACAAGTAGTATGACCAGCACCTTAATTTCAAGCTGTCTCTTTCAGGAAATTCTACTGGGAAACCTCTTTCAGAATTTAAGTTTAATACAGAGAGGATAAATTTAGATATCAAATAGTTCCAAACATTTTTGAAAACCATTGTAAGCATTCTAAGATTAGCCAAGCAAATTTATGGAGTATAACCTTAAATTTTTAGCATACTAATTTTATTACCATATTTAGGAACTAGTAGTGCTTCCTTTTAAAAAATTTAACAAAGTTTTCTTTTTCCAAATGTATAACTGGCTAGTTCTACTTATGCATCTTCACCAGCAGCCAGGAAACTCCACCCTTGGCACTTCTGGTATAAATCACTAAGCTCTGTTTGGAACCCAGTTTGATGAGACCCTTACTAAGGGCTGCTCTGGCCAAGGAACCGTGATCCTCACTCTCCCAGAAGCCACCACTGGGGTTGTAAGTGCAGAGTTGGGAGTCTGTCATAGGCAGCTTTGTCAATACTGAGCTTGTCCCAAACTTGCCTTTGGGTTACTTCCTTTTGGCCTCACCCCTAGGTTTGTTCACAGGGTCTTTGTCTTTCTTGGCTGACTTTTAGACACCTTTCTCTTTGTCTCCCCTGGGCAGCACTGCATAGCTTGCAGAGCAGGGACGACCATACTGCAGCCTTACAAAGAAGTTAGGCAAAAACCAGAACTTCCTTTTATGGTTCATCTTTTTTTGAATCTTTCTTTACTTTAGTGTTTGTTTGTTTGTTTTTGTTTTTTGGTGGTACTGGGATTTGAGCTAAGGGCCTCATGCTTCCTAGGCAGGCTCTCTACCACTTGAGTCATCCCCCCAGCCCTTTTTTGGCTTTACTATTTTTCAGATAGGGTTTCATGTTTTTTGTTCTTGGACCACAATCCTACCTATGTCTCCTGCATGGCTGGGATTGAAGAAATATACCACCATGCTCAGCCTATTTGTTGAGATAGGAGGAGTCTCACTAACTTTTTGCCCAGGCTGGCCTCAAACCACAATCTTCTTGATCTCTGCCTCCTGAGTAACTGGGATTATAAGTGTGAGTCACTGCACCATGCCCCTTTACCATACTTTTTAATTTAGAAAATTCTTAAAGATACAGCAAGAGGATACTATAGCCACCACTTACTTCATCAACTATTTTTCTTTCAAAGTAACCTTGATGAGGGTCAAGAAGTAACTTCACTCCAATACAGGTTGAGAGTCCCTTATCTGAAATGCTCTGGGCCGAAAATGTCTTGGATTTCAGATTCTGTTTTATTTGGTAGTAATGGGGTTTGAACTCATGGTTTCATGCCTGCTAGGCAGGCACTTTACCACTTGAGCCATGACCCCAGCCAGACATATGTTTGAGGGGGTTTTGGAATACTTGCATATATACAAAGAGATATCTTGGTGATTAAGCCCAAGTCTAAACATGAAATTCATTTATACTTCATACACATAGCCTAAAGATAATTTTATATATTTTTAACGCACCCATATTTTGATTGCAACTCCTCACATGAGGTTAAATGTGGGATTTTCCACTTGTGGCATCATGTTGGCATTCAAAAGTTTCAGATTTTGGAGCATTTCAGATTTCTAATTTTCAGATTAAGAATGCTCAACTGTTGTATTGAAAATTCTAGGTGACTCTTCACTTCTGCTGTGGCTGTGAGTGGCACTGTGCAGGAATAAGTTGGTTCTAGAGTTTGAAAGACCTAGGTTTGAATGTTGGCTGGTAATAGCCAGTGACCCTGAAAAACTCACCTTCTTGAAGTCTCATTTTCCATAAGACTATGCAGCAAATTATAATGCCTACTGTGCAGGGTTATTGGGAGGGTTAGATTAAATTGCATATATGTACGGACCTGATTCAATGCCTTACATTGAGTAAGTACTCAATAAATGGGAAATAAGATGCTTATTATTATAGCAGAACTGAGTCATAAGGTCTTATAAAAATGGTCCCTGTTCTTGGAGCCGGATGTGGTGGTACACACTGGTAATCCCAGCTATCTAAGAGGATGGTGTGTTCAATGACAGCCAAGCAACACAGTGAGATGCCATTTCAAAATAATACTAGTGGCAGGCACCAGTGGCTTACACCTGCAATTCTAGCTACTCCGGAGGCAGAGATCAGGAGGATCAGGAAGTTCTAAACAAGTCCCTGGCAAATAGTTCATGAGACACTATCTCAAAAATACCCAATACAAACATGGCTGGTGGACTGTCTGAAGTGGTACAGCACCTGCCTAGCAAGTGTGAGGCCCTGAGCTAAAAGCCCTATACTGCCAAAAAATAATAATAATATAAATGGCCCTGTTCTCTACTTCCTGCTCAGGTAGACAAATGTGTTGTAGAAAAGAGGCCTCCCTGGGGACCTGTTACTATGGGGTGGAAAATGATAGTATTTTCTTCTGTCCTAATAGGCAATCTTTCTAAGGGGTTTTCTTATTTTTCATGTCAAACAGTGTCTCCTGAAGTGTTTGCCTTCCATGTGCTATTTTTCCCTTGCTATAAAGAAAAATCAGTTAAATCTGCATATATTAACTTGCTAAATATTCCTGAATAAACTGGCAACTCTTTTCATGCAATGGCCAGAATTCTGAGAAGACAGATTTCACCCAAATGAAGAGGATTTACTCACTTTTGCCAGATAGTGAAATGTTTCTACCATTTCTTGTTGCTTCAGGGCTGATTTAAACTGTTCTTCTGCTTCACGATACATTCTTAACCTAAACACAGTCATTAAAAAAAATCAGACATTTAACTTCAAAATAAACACTACATCACATTTTCAAGCCCTGGGGATATGAATAAAGATAAATCACTTCTTAAGGCAAGAATGCACAGAAGAAACTAATGTACACACACATTATTAATAATTACATGAATACAGTTTGGCAAAAAGTTGCCTCTCTCCCATAACACTGGCCATTTAATCCTCAAATAGTCTGTCTATAGGACTAAGAGCTGCCATTAAGCCAGGTCATATCAGTTCACCACCCAAAGAGCTTACGAGCAGCTGGACATATGGCAAGTGACCTGAATAAATGCTTAGAACCTCTGCTTTTCTGGAAGAACAGAAAGATGATGTTCTTTGAAAACATCTTCTGCTCTGAGATAAAAACCCATTTTAGTTATCCCTAGCTTATTTCAATGTAACAACTGCTACTTCCCTTTTATTATTCTAGAAATCTTTTTTCCTTTCATTAGGTATCTAATACTGGTTGTGCTGGGCTATGAATCTGAGACTCATTCCTTGCATAAATATGACTGTCCTGATGCCACTGCCCACCTCTTCTGCCCAGGAAACATTCTGTTCCTAATAAATTAGTCACTACAGCACACACTGCTGTCCTCAAAAGACCAGTTAGGCTTTCTCAAAACTACTCATTCTTAGCCATAGAAGAGCTTAGGTATGATGTTTTGTTTTCTGAAATAAAATCAAAATGATATGCAATATGTTCCATTGTGCTATTTTCATTTAAAGGCTTGAAAGGAGAGCTCTGATAATTTTTTATAACTGAAATTGCAAGCATTGGTGTGGCGGATACACTAATACCTGTTGGAAGATGGGGATTTAAATGATTAAAGGTGACTCCAAAAGACTAGAGGATACATGATGTGGTAGCAGTTCCTAACTCTTCAAGGGTCCCATAAATTTCACAAGGAGTATGTATAGAATGCCATCAAAGAACTCTAAAGTTCTAAAAAAACCACATATTTATGTACATAACATAAACTGAGCAGGCAAGTCTTAAGCACATGAGTGAAGTACAGTCACTGAATTCCAAAAATCCAAGTTGTCCTTCAGTCTGCATATTTCATCAAATAACTTGCCTCTTTCCAAAAATTATTTTTAAAGAATTCTAACTTAAAAAATCACATAAAAAACAAAAATAGGAAAACACAAATCAATTTTTTAAAAATGAAAAACCCAGAAGATAGAAGAATAAACTTAAAAACAAAGAAATAGAGATATTGAGCTATATGGAGGCCAAAGAAAGGAAAAAAATATGGGTCTTATGTTTTTTACTACTGCATCCTCAGGGATAACTTCTGTACGCATTATTGAAAAGATACATGGATTCCTGTACAAAGAAAATGGAGTAAGCCATATTCAAAGGAAGTCTAGGAATACTGAAAACATCAATCAAGTTCATAAATTCAGGCCAATATCAAGAGTCAAGAATCCAAAGAGAGTTTTCACAAGCTGACTTTTTCTCTCTGATTTAACTCAAGAAAATTATCAAGCATAAACTGCATACACATTTCACAATAATGAGAAGAAAAATGAAGACAATAACAAAATGTCCTGAAAGTGATGATAATTAAGAGTTAAAATAAGTTCACAGACAACTTTAATTGTATTATGACAAATAAGAAAAAGTGCTTTGAAAGCACAGAAGAGTGAGTGAATCAAGAGAGTTTCAGGAGGAAGTGATTTCAACACTAGACATGGTATGTGTGTATGGGTGGAGTGTATTTCCAGGTGGAAGTAACTATGGCAAAGCACACAGGCAGGAAATTATACAGCATATCAGCAGAATGCTAAGGAGTTTGATTTAATTGAGAAGGAAATAATAAATGATGGATATGGACCAACATGTAGACTGGGACAAGATCATGATGCCACACTTAAAATCCAGACTTCATTCTAGAGGGAATGGAGAATCACCAAGGAAATCAACAAGAGCTGCTTTTTCAGAGCAGTTACTCTCACTGTATTTAAGGATTGGTGGGACAAGAGATTGGAGGCAGAAAACTCAAGTGAGGAGCTACTGTGAGAACTTAATCAAATGATACTAAAAACCAGAATGAGGCCATTAGAGTGGGGATGGGCCCTAAGGGAGCAACTTTGAGAGCCACTTCAGAGGTAGAATCAGTAGAACCTAGTGATCAGGAACAAAGAGATAGAAGTCACCTTCAAGTGACAATCCTGTGGCAATCCATCCTGAACCTCTCCAGTTTTGAAGTCAGGAGCTCTTTTGCTGAGCTCTTGGTATACTCTGCAATTGCTTCTATCATAATGGGAACCATACTTACAATCATTTATTGTCTATCTAAACCATTTGAAAAAAGGGACACTCTAAGAACTCCGTAACCTCATTTAATGAGGGCGGTTGCTCATTAAATATTTTACTGCATGAATGAGTAAGTGAGAAATAGTGAGCACATAATAAAGATGAGCAAGCATTAAAGAACAGAGAGCAATAATTTAATATGACAAGACACATTCATTTACATACCATTGTACACGGGTGTCAAAGAGAGACACAGTTGTGCTTTCCCTTAATTATTAAAAATTTCTGAAGCTTTTGATTGGAAGGTCAAGATTTTATGATTGTCTTTGGGAACTATATTCGTAAGAGTTAATGTTATGATGTCTACAATTACCTTCTGGCAGACAACAATGCCTCAACCTAGCAGCACCAAAAAATTTTTAAGAGTTATATGTGAAAATGGAAAGTACTCTTATTTTGAACAATTATCACTTTTTGTATGTGTATTGCTGGGGCTTGATCCAGGGCCTTGCACACGTAAGGCAAGCACTCTACCACTGAGCTATCTTTTCAACGAATAAGCATTCTTTTCAGTCCACTTATTTCTTCCTCAGTGTTTGAATGATAACTAAAGTTTATAAATCTAGAAGGATACACACAGTAATTGAAGTCTATCTTGTTTTTGAATAATAAATGACATATTTATCTTTATAAAATATAATTGTTCATTTGTCTTTATTTTCCAATGACCTAACACATTCCAACATTAAAAACAAGTTTCAGATCTTATGTTTCTATATAAATACTCATAAAATTAATTACAAATTTTCTGATCTCTCAGTTAACTTGCTTTAAAATGTATGTAAGAGTTAAGTGCATGTGGGATTATTCAGGTTCTAGAGAAAGAATACAGAATTATGAAAATAGTAAGAGAATCAGCACCAAAGAGTAGAGCTCAAATTCTTGCTCTGCCAATTATTAGCTGTATAAATTTGAGAAACTCACTTTACCTTTGTCAGGCTCAATTTTTCTCATCTGGGAAAACAACTAATAACAGCAACTACCTCTGTGTGTGTGTGATTGAAGTGAGATGACATACTGTATAAACAAACTCACACTTAACTGCAAAGTGTCTCACACATGTGCTACATCAGTGTAAATGAAAAAGACTTGAGAGCCAGGAGGATGAATCAGATAGATGGACAAACCCAGTTCTATCCTTGGCCTGTCACAGCTACTCTCTGCCCTCAGCCTCCTCATGTGAAAAGAGAACCCTACTCCCGGCTCTAGCATTTTACTATTCTAAATGCATCCAGTTCTTATTGCTGCCATTTATTTGCCTTACTTTCCCAAGTAAAACAAAGTTCTCATTTGTTCATGAGGAAATCTATTTTTTTAAGTATCAGATTTGATACTCTAATCTATTGCCACTTGTAAGCCCTTTGCAGATAATCAAGTTTACCTGATAGAAAACCCAAAACATGAAAGCGTTTGATGTCCCCACTCCAGAGGAGCTAATACAGAAACCTTAAAGCAACAGAGGTTATCATGAGAAGGGGATCAGTAACCAGGGTAAAGATCAGTTAGAGATGAATCAACATGGGTCATAACACGTGTACACGAAAGCAATACTAGGAATATTTCTGTACAGCTATCCTCAACTCAACTAGCAAAAACACTTTGTCTTCCTTATTAGGCTTGTTTCTTTTCTTCAACAAAACTAGTGATAAAGGCAGAACAGGACCTGCCTAGAACTGAGGGGGTAAGGGGGGAGGGGGTGGAGGAGGGGAGCAGGGGGAAGAAATGACCCAAACAATGTATGCACATGTAAATAAATGAATAATAAAAAAAGTTTACCTGAAGTAACATTTTCCGATTTGCACTTTCCACCACCAGTCCTTGTACTGAGAATGCTCTGTGGATAGGGCTGCCAGATCCAAAGCCTTTGGAAAACAATTCATTTTAGATTAGGATATTCTTTCCTAACAATAGTCAGAAAGAGAAATAATGAAATAAACTACATAATTAGCATCGATCAAAAGATGCATTAGAAATTAGGCAGAAACCCATGTTGCTCGTGTTTCCAGATGGCCCTGCCAATTGCCCCTAATCAGTTCCAGGCCAGAGTGCTAACAACAGATGAGTCAGAAACACTGAGCAAGGGGAAGCAGATGCACAATATATTTCAGTACAACTTAATGCCCAAGGCACAAAACTGATATAAAAAATCCCAGTTTTTACTTGCTTCCCACTACTTAGCTGCTTCTTAATGACTCAAAATGTCTCCAAACTCAGTGGTGGTCAAGCCTCTCGTATGTCAGGTGAGTCCAAAGGCAGTCCTCATTTTAGACACAGATGCAGAGAAACAGAGTGAGATCAAGTAAGGGACAGAAAAGGGGGATTCTGAGTACAACTTTTTTCTGACGTGAATGCCAGAAGAGGCCCTTCAATCCCCTACTGCAAAACCACTCCATGTGTCACCTTATCTTCTTTGCTCCAGGGAACCCCCAAATATGCAAAATCCATCCAAAAGATGGTGTCACTATGCTGAGCTTCTAATGGACTTAAAAAATCGACAACTGTACCTGAAAGCTATGGAAATTAAAAACAAGCCACAGACTACTTTCATATGCTTATTCTTCTTTTTTCCCCTCCAGCCAGAAATTAAAAAAAAAAAAAAGCAAAAATGTGAAAAGTATAACTTTGATTAGCATTATATCTGGAAATACTAGGAAAATATATTTTTAATCAGTTCAATTCAGGCCTTGCATTATCAAATCTGAGCATATTAATTTTAACTAAATCCTTTAAAAGACCTTTCCCATAATATAGATCATATCTACTGCCATATTTAATATAAACAAATCTATTTTTTAGAAAAAGTTGTCATTCAAATTTTTTTTTTACATATTTTAACTTCGAAAGTTGGATTTAGTGCTTATTATAGGCGACGGATTTTACATACAGATATAGTCCAGAAAAGTCTTCCTCTGAGAGCACGTGTTTGAATTAACCCAACCAAGGAAAAATCCAAATTATGACACAGAATAGAAAGTTTAAAAAGTCACATTTTACTGTTCACTCTTCACATGAGGAGCCAGGCTGCACTAGAGGTGAGTATCAGTGACAATTACAATGGACCCTAAGCTCTGAGGACAAATGCTTTTCTCTTACATCTCTGCTGTTGTTTTGGAATGTTGCTGTGCTCACAAAAGGTACTCAAGAATTACTTGTTAGAGCTGGCAGAATGGCTCAAGCGGTAAGTGCCTGTCTATCAAGCGTGAAGCCCTGAGTTCAAACCTCTGTGCCACAAAAGAATGAATTACTTATTGAATAAATTAATTAGGTCTTTTGTTTCTGATCTATGATGAAAATAGCGTAAGAACCAAACAAAAACTGTCATAGTAAATGATTCATAACTAGAAGTTACTAACATTAAAAAAAAAAAGGTTTTTGGGTGGTATTGGGGTTTGAACTCAGGCCTCACACTTGCTCAGCAGGCACTCTACCATTTGACCCACTCCACCAGCTCCTTCTTTGTTGTGTGTTATTTCTGAGATAAGGTCTCATGAACTATTTGCCCAGGCTGGCTGAGAACCTTGATCCTCCTTATCTCTGCCTCCTGAGTTGGTAGGATTTCAGGCATGAGTCACCAGTAACTGGCATATTTAAAAATTTTTAAAGTGGTATCAGATCTATATTTCTTTAAAATCTTTCCCAACTTTTTAAAATAAATGACATATTTACATTTAAGAACCTTTGAATAATTTAACAAAACTAATTTTTGTATTTATTTTTATTAATATGCATGTTAACAAAAGGCCAAAAATGACATTTTTTTAAAAGCCATGGGTTTATAAAAGTCCAAATGTTGACAGGTTAGATAATATAAAGTTTGTGACTCTGTCTAACCACTAAAGTTGTTTCAAAGTAATCTCTTCACTATTTTTATAGTTGTGGCAAGTTCAGGATGATGAAATTAAAGAACATATGGAAATAAAGACTCCAGAGTCATCAACCCACATGCACTTGAGTTTTGTCAACACTGCCAATAGTGGCCCAAAAGGGAAGGTTGGGAAGAGAGAGTTATTAAAAACTCAAAGACAGCTTTTCTGTAGATCCACTTTACTTTTTCTTACTTTTAAATACCACTTCACCAAATTCTCTATAGTTGTCTACAGTGCTCTCCCTATTTATAGACAAATACAGAATCACCAACACACATCATTTTAGTTTTGTCTATAATGCCCCCCAAACAGGATTACAGTATTACAAGTTCAAAGACAGAAATATAATTTTCCATCAAAGATCAATTTTGCTTACTATTTAAATTCCACTTCATAGTATTCTTTATATTCATCTATGACAGTGTGTATATTTATGTGAAATACTTTATTTAAAAAAATTTGGAGGCCATCAAAGTAACTATAAAGAGTGCCTCTAATTTCCTGAGCATGTTAAAAAAAAACAAAAACAAAAAACAGAACTTCTTTACTTTTTCCAGCTAAGGTTATGAAACATACATAGGAATGAAAAGTGTGTGCCTGGTGTTCATTAACTAAATTCTTCTATTCAGAAAACAGCATGTGGTCAAATCTAAAATGACATTTTAATGAACAATCTGGTCTACAAGAGCACGAGGAGGATGGCAGGTCCAGAGCCAGTAGGAAAACAGCTGCGAGGCACCGGCCCTCTCAGCACTCCTCACACCATCACAGCACAACACATGGGCACTCTGTAATTATTTATTTAGAGAATAAGCCACCCTGGCACTGTGGCCCAAGTATATAATTCGAGCTAGTCAGGAGGCGAAAACTGAGAGGATCTCAGTTCAAGGCCAGTCCAGACAAAAAGTTAGCCAGACCCTATCTCAACCAATAGCTGGGCCTGGTGCCACATGCCTGTCATCCCCGCTACACAGGAGGATTGTGGCCAGGCAAGGCTCTATGTTCAACCCCTAGTACTGCCAAAATAAACAAAAAATAAACCAAGTGCTACTAAGTCAATAAGTGAATTAGTGCATAAAAAGGAAAACAGAGGAGCAAATAGTTTGTGCTTTTCACTAGGTAAAAACAAAACAAATTGCTTCATTATTATTAGGGGTAAGCAAATGAAAATAAGGAGGGTAGAATTATAAGCATTTTAATTTATTAATATACCTAATTCATAGCTAAATTTGTAAGCAAAAAGTTGCTATAACATTATGAAATGTATGACGTTTGAGAGAGGGGGTAAAATTAGACTAAATCTGCATTAGTGCTTTGAGGCATAGCTGTTTTCTCTAGCATTGAACATTTGCGTTGCTTTCTAGGTATTTGTACTACTACATCTAATGCTATGATAAGCATCATCACAAATATAGCAGTTCTCCTGAAATTCTCTGAGAAGTGAAATTACAGAAACAAATAAATATCTTTATGGCTACTTTCTTTATATCACCATATTATCTTCCAAATTGTACCTTTACATCATCTGTAATATATAATGATTTATTACACTCCCTAAGTATTCAAAGCCCCTTTGTTTTACATTTTTGTTGTTAGTGAAAGTATATATCACTATTGTGCATATTTACTGGCACTTTCTCTAATGTAAATAGTCTACTATGTGGTTTATTAAAAACCAGTTTCATAAAAACCTTTCAAAAAATTCAGATAAGCTTTTTAAAATCTGACAAACATTTGTTTCACATATGTGGAATCTATATTTTTTATTATAAATTTTTTATTAGGATATATTCATTATGACAAATCATATTTTAAAACTGTGCTTGAGGTACCTATTTCTTTCTTCCTTCTTTTTTTTCCTTTATTCATATATTCGTATGTGCATACATTGTTTGGGTCATTTCTCCTCCCTATCCCTACCTCCTCACTCTCCCTTCTTTCTTCCTTCTATTATACATTTACTTTTGTCTTTGTTTCTGCTCATTCTATAGAAATTATATATATGCATCAGTAACTTTTTCCTTTGCAATTATTTCACAACTCCAAAATAATCTATAAAATACTCTATTATTTCCTATTTTAAATAATTCCTCATTAATCAAACATCTAAAGGCAAAGTCCCTAAACAAATTTTTGATATTGAATTTAATGAACTATAGACATCTATTTCAAAGAGTCAAAAATTGTATTCAGCATTGCTTGTTTCTAATGTGCTGAATCTTTCACTATTCCTAAAAATAAAAATCTAAAATTTATAAATGAGGACTCTGGTTCTCAATAATATTTTGTAGCGTTTCCTTATTATCAAGATGTATGTGAGAGTCATTTTTGTTGTCTCTTGTTAGTTCTTTGATTACTGTCTTTGAGCAAGGAACGTACCCCCCCACACACACAGGTGGTTAACTGCCATGTGGAACTTGGCCTTCAAATTCTGCTAGGGAAAAAAACCCAAATGAATAAAATCAGGATGCAAAAGGGGAGATAACAACAAACACCATGGAAGTCCAGGAAATCATGAGAGACTACTTTGAGAACTTATATTCAAATAAATTTGAAATTTTTGAAGAAATGGACAGATTTCTAGATATTTATAATCATCTAAAACTGAACCAAGAGGATATTAATCACCTGAATAGATCTTTAACACAGAATAAAATTGAAGCAGCAATCAAGAGTCTTCCTAAAAAGAAAAGTCCAGGACCTGATCCATTCTCTGCTGAATTCTATCAGACCTTTAAAGAAGAACTAATACCAACCCTCCTTAAACTGTTCCATGAAATAGAAAGGGAAGGAAAACTGCCTAACACATTTTATGAAGCCAGTATTACACTTATCCCAAAACCAGGCAAAGACACCTCCAGAAAGGAAAACTATAGGCCAATCTCCTTAATGAACATTGATGCAAAAATCCTCAACAAAATAATGGCAAACCAAATTCAACAACACACCAAAAAGATCATTCACCATGACCAAGTAGGCTTCATCCCAGGGATGCA